AAAATCTTTTCAGTTATTCCCACAGGTAGTTAATGATCTCCTTCTGCGTGTGCTGTTGACTGCCTTGCAGAGAATAACGTTTTTAAAGTTCAGTTGGTATCTATTTCATACTTACAAACAGATCTCACAAACGAATTTTCTTTTTGTTCTTTACAAAAACAATCAACTTTGGAAGAAATGAAAGTAGTGAGAAATGAAAATCAGCCTATTTTATCCACAAGACTTTTTTTGCTTTAAAAAGTCCTCAGGCTGGGGAGGGGATAGCCCAGTGGTAGACTGCGTGTGCCTAGCGTGCACAATGTCCTCGGTTCAATCCCTAGTCCCTCCATTAAATAAATAAAAACATAATTACCTCTACCCAACCCCTCCCCCCATCCTCATATTTTTGAAAGCTTCATCAAAGTGAAAATAAACAGAAAAATGCTACAGGTATTTGGTTCAACACTTTTTACGTCAGTTCCAAAAATACATGGTGCCATGCTGAATTTTACTCTGAAAGTAAACTAGGAAAGCAAGAACAAGCCTGCAATTCATAAATATAACATTTGTTTTTTAAAACCTTTGGTTTAAAAAATAGGCCATGATCTTGAATTGTATCTTTTTCTCCATTTTAAAAGAATTCTTTGGGTATTTTCCCGATTGTTTCTGATTATCACCTCGTCAGTTTTTGTGATTATAGGCCTGTCTCCCAACATACAGATGTGTGCATGTGTACATACCAGGCACATGAAGAGATGCTCAGTATCACTAATTATCAGAGAAATGCAAATCAAAACTATAATGAGATATCACCTCACACCAGTCAGAATGGCCATCATTAAGAAGTCTACAAATAATTGATGCTGGAGAGAATGCAGAGAAAAAGGAACCTCCTACACTGTCGGTGGGAATGTAGTTTGGTGCAGCCACTATAAAAAAACAGTATGGAGATTCCTTCAAAAACTAAAAATAGAGTTACCATATGATCCAGCAATCCTACTCCTAGACATATATCCAGAGGAAACTCTAATTTGAAAAAATACATGCACCCCAATGTTCATAGCAGCACTATTTACAACAGCCAAGACATGGAAACAACCTAAATGCCCACTGACAAATGACTGGATAAAGAAGTTATGGTATATTTATACAATGGAATACTACTTAGCCATAAAAAAGAATAAAATAATGCCATATACAGCAACATGGGTGGACCTGGAGATTGTCATGCTAAGTGAAGTAAGTCAGAAAGAGAAAGATAAATATCACATGATGTCACTTATATGTGGAATCCAAAAAAAAAATGACACAAATGAACTACTTACAACAAAGAAACAGACTCAGACATAGAAAACAAACTTATGGTTATCAAAGGGGAAAGGGGGGATAAATTAGGCGTTTGGGATTAACATAAACACAATACTATATATAAAATAGACTGGGGAGGGTACAGCCCAGTGGTGAAGCACATGCTTCGCATGCAGGAGGTTCTAGGTTCAATCTCCAGTACCTCCTCTAAAAATAAATAAATGAATAAACCTAATACCTCCTCCCTCAAAAAAAATTTTAACAGATTAAACAACAAGCATAGGGAACTGTAGTCATTATCTCATAATAACTCTTAATGGAAAAGAATCTAAAAAAGAATAGGTTTATATATGTGTGTGTGTATAACTGAATCACTTTGCTGTACACCTGAAACATTGTAAATCCATTACACTCCAATTAAAAAGTGAAAAAAATATGAGACAAATGAACTTATTTACAAAACAGAAACAGACTCACAGAGACAGAAAACAAACTTATGGTTACCAAAGGAGAAGGGGAGAAGGGATAAATTAGGAGATTGGAATTAGCAGACACAAATTACTATATATAAAACAGATAAACCACAAGGTCCTACTGTGCAGCACAGGGAGCTATATTCAATACCTCGTAATAATCTACAATGAAAAAGAATATGTAGATATATATGTGTAAGACTGAGTCACTATGCTGTACACCAGAAACTGACACAACATTGTACATCAACTACACTTCAATTAACAACAACAACAAAAAAGCCTGTCTCCCAGTTTGGTTATTCAGCAAAGGACCAGAGCAAGCTTACTTTTGCAGTTGTTATTGAATTTAAAATATCAGTTATGGATCATGCAGCTCTACAATTTTCCTGTCTAGTAATCCTCTTAATGCCTATTGCTATTCTACATTCATTAAATCCAAAGCTTTAGCAATAATGATACATACCCCTCGATGCAACAGTGAACACTGTTTTCAGAGATGGTGTTTTAACCATACATTCTTTCATCTGATGGGAGGTGTCGTAGGACAGAGTGATGAGTTCTCCTCATTTCAATCACTGTTCGTGGCAAGGACTCTAACCCCCAAAAAGCAAATCTGTATGAGTGAACTGAATGAATGAATGCTTCTTTTCGAAGGATGTCCTCCCTCCCTCCCTCACCCCACCCCCTTGTAATCCAGAGTCCAGATACTTTGACTCACTCCATGTGTATGTTACACCAGGCGAGGCGGATGCTGCTGGACAAGACAGGTGAGTTCTCTACCTGCGCGAAACTTACATTCCAGCAGGAAGAGACAGGGAAAAGGCAAACAGATAAATCAGAAAGCCAGCAGGTAATGTGAGGCGTGACCTGAGGACAATAAAACAAAGCCGTATGATGGGGTAATGGAGGCAGGGCATTTGAGTGGCTGGAGGTGGACTCTCTAAGGAGGGAACGTTGAAGACCAGACCTGAATGGGAGGTCTCCATAAAGTGGAGATTATCCCAGACGGGACTGACCTTGACCCTGACTCTTGTGCAGTCACAGCAGGGCTCCTTGCTGCCCATCAAATACACCACGCTTGCATTTCCCTCATGGCACTTACAACCACCCAAATGATCTGATTGGTCTGCGTACGTACTCATTTTTTGTACCCTTTCACCAGACTACTGTCTTCATAAAGGCTTCGTGTAGGATATCGGAGCCTGGGCAAAGGTACAGATGATCACCTGTCAGTCTGAATACACGAAAGTTATAAATCAACCTAACACGTTGTTACCTAGGATATGTTATAACCTCCTACTTTGACAAGTAAACAATTGTGATGACAAAACAGAAATGTTTTCATGTGGCTGAAGGACAGCAAAATACAAAAGACGACAGCATTTAACCATTATTGCACCTGTCTGGGTACAATGTTGATTGGCTGATGATTTTGGATGTGTAATAAAGAGACAGAGAGCTAACACATTTCCTGTATATTTAGCCCATAAAACTTTGCCTTCATTTCAGCAAGAGTACCAATTATGTTGTTTAAGCCAGATGTCCACAAATTGTGTTCTATTGACAAAAGATTAAAAAAATTAAATTGAATGACATTCAAAGTATACACAATTTGAATATATTTTCATAAAATGTAAATTATGTAAAAATCAATATAGTATATTTATCTTTCACTGGTTTTTGATGTTTTCAAAAGAATTATCTAAAAGAAGGCAAAATGCAGAGGACAATGACAAGATTTTAATCAAACTTAAATCAAGCTAAAGGCTTTTATTTTTTGGTAAATATTACTACCTTATTTTAATAAAATATTTTCATAAAAATTGTTCACAAGTTTAGTATTCAATATCGATCTAGTTGCCAGTATGAAGAATCAGTATTACCCTTCATTCATGTTATATCTACCTATTTTCAAATTTAAGACCTGTATGAATTTTTTTAACATTTTTTATTGATTTATAATCATTTTACAATGTTGTGTCAAATTCCAGTGTAGAGCACAATTTTTCAGTTATACGTGAACATATGTATATTCATTGTCACATTTTTTTCTCTGTGAGCTACCACAAGATCTTGTGTATATTTCCCTGTGCTATGAATTGTTTAATGTTGCTAAAGGGTCCTCCATTACCCTATCCAGTTGCTGAGAATACGCAGGACAGTATTTCATCCAGAACCATAAATCGGAAAACAAAAGGAAATGAGACATTACGTGTTTGAAACTACTTAGAAATAATACTTTACAACGCAAAAACCTAATATGTACATGCTGTCGGAAAGGAAGAATGTGTCTTTTCACCAATTTGTCTTTTCTCTTGCCTGAGCACTTCCAAACTCAAATCTTCCCTGTGCTGAGAAGCAGTGTCCAGGAGCCGTGCAATCTGCAGACCTTCAGAACGTTCCAACAGGGCTGCCTTTGCTTTGAGGATACAGAGCATGAGAGCTGCTTCCCTGAAGCTTAAATACATAAATCAGAGACTGGAGTTTCAGAGTTATAGGATATGCTACAGCAGTGCTAAATAGCAGATTTTTCAGGGACAGGATTTTATTTTATTTTTAAAATGTTTTTACTGAAGTATAGTTGATTTACATTGTTGCATTAAATTCAGGTGTACAGCACAGTGTTTCATATATACATACATATTCTTTTTCATATTGCTTTCCATTATAGTTTATTACAAGATATTGAATATTATTCCCTGTGCTGTACAGTAAGACCTTGTTGTTTATTTTACATATAGTACTTTGTATCTGCTAATCCTAAACTCTTAATTTATCCCTCCCCTACCCCTTTTCCACTTTGATAAACATAAGTTTATTTTCTATGTCTGAGTCTGTTTCTTTTTTGTAAATAAGTTCATTTGTATCATATTTTTAGATTCCACATCTAAGTGATATCATATGATATTTGACTTTCTCTCTCTGACTTACTTCACTTAGTGTAAAAATCTCTAGGTCCATCATTGTTGCTGCAGATGGCATTATTTCATTCCTTTTTATGGCTGAGTAGTGTTCCATTGCATAAATATACCATGACTTCTTTATCCAGTCATCTGTCAGTGGACATTTAGGTTGTTTCCATGTCTTGGCTGTTGTAAATAGTGCTTCTATGAACACTGGGGTGCATGTATCTTTTCAAAGTCGAGTTTACTCCATACATATGCCCAGGAGTGGGATTGCTGGATCATATGGTAAGTCTATTTTTAGTTTTTTAAGGAACCTCTGTACTGTCCTCCA